CCTCCTCAGTATTGGGATTATAGGCATATGCCATTACACCCAGACTCTGTGGTTGGCTCAGCCCACCCTGGGCTGGTGCGGCATGTGGTGCTGGGGATCAAACCGTGGTCCCTGCGCTTGCCCAAGCAGGGCTTTAGTCTGCTGACCTATCTTGCCAGCCCCTGGCTGGTTGATATTTGATGCTTATGGGTTAAGTGTGCATTAGTCCTTTCCAAAGATCCACTACTCTGTTGAGGTAAATATTCATTCTATTTGCAGATGAGGAAACTGAAGCTTAGAAAGAAGATCAGTAACTTCCCCAAGGCTACACAGCTAGTAAGTGATGGATATAAATTAAGTCTATTTGACCTCAAAGCTATCATAAACTTAAACAAACAAACAAACAAACTGCCTTACATGGAATATGTTTTTTCAAAATACATTTCTCCCTAACCACATAGCTGTTTCAACTCATAGAAAAGTTGGGTTATGTCCCAGTTTTGACTGCCTATTTCAGTGATCTAAATTCTCGGGACCACTATCTTGTCAGCCCCCGTAGGGGGGCTGGGCAAGTGTCATTCAAATCTGTCAGCTCCCAGAATTTCGCAACACTGTGGAGTCAGTGTTTGAGTCTAGCATGCTCATTCACTCTCTTAAACATGCTATTTGAAGTAAGTGCATGTATACTTTTATGACTTAGAACAGATTGCTCATACTATGACCTAACTACATGGGCTTTAATTGCAACCATTTGCGGCATTTCCTGTATAGCAGGAAATGCACCAAGTGCTCTACTTACACCTACATCTGCTTCTCACAACAGCTTTATAAGATAGATTTTTACAGTTTCAGTTTTATAGGGCAAAGCTCAGGCTCCGAAAGGTTCCAGGAATCCACGGTCATACAGGTAGAGCAGCGAACCCAGAATTCCAGCCCTGGGTGTTTCACAAGCTGTATACATTTTCCAATTCCGCTCCACGTCTAAAGATCGCGGTCATTGTTCAATAGCGGGTTTTTCTCTTCTCTTTTTAATAAATTGTCGTTAGCTCCTGACCTTCTGCTGTTCGCTTTCTGCCTGCTTGAGCAATTGCTGAAGAAACGCAAAGCGGGAAGAGCTTACTCTTTTCAGGGTAAACGCCTCTTCACACTTTAAATTTGCAGCCGACGGCAAACGTCCCAGGGCTGGCTTTGTGCCTCGGCGCCCTGTGGATCTTCTTCCGCGCGCGTAGTCTTTCCGAGAATCCGCGTCCTCGCGCCGAACTACGTTTCCCAGCGTACGCCGCGGCCGAGAGCGTGCGTTCTACCCGCCCTTCTTTCCTCCTCGCCTATCACGCGGTCGCAGCGTGATGATTCAAACGTAGGGCCCGCGACGAGTGACGTCGTTCTGGCTCGCGACCGCGACGGCGGCCTAAGCAGAGGCGATAGGCGAATTAGCGGCGGCGACTGCGGGACTACGGCGGCGGGGCGGGCGCCGTGCGCAGTCGGGAGCAAGCGGGCGGCGCCGGCGGCTTCAACTGCGGCAGCGACGCCTAGGGCGGCAGAAGAAAACCTCCGCCAACCGGCAGTCGAGTTAGGCCTCAGCGGCGCGGGGCAGGCTCGCGTTGTCCTTCGCGGGAGATCTCCATAGAGACCGTGAAAAACAGACGCGGGGGCCCGCGAGAGGCGGCCGTTCTGGAGCCAGGTCCTCGGTCGCGGCCGCCGCCACTCCCTCCATCGCTGCTGGCGCGTTCGCGCTCTCGTCTCGGCCTCACAGCTTCGCGCGGCTCCGTGCGTCGGTGCCTTCCTGTGTGGGCAGCGCGGGCGGACTTTGCGGCCTGGGCCGGGGCCGGGCGGGGGAGGCCCTAAGGCCGCCGCCTCTGCCTCTCCGGCCCGGGAGCGGGAAGCCGCCGAGGCTCCGCCATGGCCTCTGGAGCCGGAGGAGGAGGAGGAGGAGGTGGGGGAGGCGGCGGCGGCGGCAAGATCCGGACGCGTCGTTGCCACCAGGGGCCCATCAAGCCTTACCAGCAGGGGCGACCCCAGCGCCAGGTACGGACGCGGCTGCCGCGGGGCCCAGGGGACGGGGAGGGACCTGGCCGTGCGAGGCGCGGCGCCCCACGTGGAGGGACTGGAGGGCGGGAAGAAAGGCCGAGCGCGGGGCCGGCGCCCAGGCCGCCGGGTGGCGACGGGAAGTGGGCAGAGGCGGCCCGGCCCGGCGCACACGTGGGGCCCGGCCTCCCCAGACGTGGGCCCGGGGCTTTCCGACCCGGCGCCGGGCGGGAAGGGAAATTGCAGGCTTGAGCGCCGTGGGCTGCCTTTTGGCGGTTATTGAGGGTTTGATGCTCTTCCTCGTCTCCCCATGAAGGAGAAGAGAGATAACTTGGTTGGAGGCGCTACAGGGGCTGGCTGGCTGCTGCAGTCGGCTGCAGGTTCGGGTACGTGGGGAGGGGGCTGCCTCGAGCAACCGGCCTCCGGGGCGCACAAGGAATTGGGGGCGCTGTTAACACGAAAGTGGAGCGATTTCGTCTCCGCTTATTAAATAATTTTTGGTCTCTGCCCGAGGGTCGTCCCCATCCTAAGAAAATCGGCCTCGGGTTTTTTCTGTAATTGGCTGATAGTTACTGTGGCACCGGGGCATTTTGAAAGTCCCTCTCCACCCTTACGTCTTTTCTCCGCTGCGCGGCTCTTCTCTTCTCTTTTCTCTCCTCCCCCCTTTTATGTTGTAGGCTAGAATTGGGCAGCTCTCCACAGTTGTCCAGGTCTCCAGCTCTGATCTCATTCGCAAGATATTTTAACAGTAATGGGACGTTTTCTAGAAGTTTGGGTACTTTTGACACTCTGGTGTTGGTGGTCTTGTAAAGTAGCCACCATATGCTCTTGGATGTTTAGAATTTTAAAAAGGAGTTGATTCTAATAGTAAATCAGACATTTGCTTCTTACAACATTCAGTGTTACTTGTGTTGAATAGGAAAATGTTAAAAGATCTATTTTAAGCCACTTATAATTTAGTACAGGGTGACTTAAACTTCTGAATGGCAATCAGGTAGCAAGGATGTGTGTTTTAAACTTGTTAAAAAAACCACAAAAAGAGAGTAAAAAGATTGATAACTTGTTGCATACTGTTAGAGGTAGAGTTTTTAGATTACTTTATACTAGATAATAAACGTTTTTAACGTTTTTTTGGTGTGATACCATTAACAGCTTTTTTAAAGTTTTGAAAGAAAATTTGAATAGTAAAATTTGTGGTTTATGTATTAAGTAGTTCTCTATCAGAGCCAGAAACCTTGACTTTACTACCACTCAAAGTTCCTCCAGACATGTACAGAAAGTGCTTTGTTTTCGAACATGTTTTTCTTTATTTGTATGAGAAAACAGGCGGATTTAAATTAGAATTCACGTCACAATCCTGGCCATTTAATCCTACCCAGACTTCTATAGAATGGAAGTTAGACATAAGTGCTTTCTGTTTCTCCTGAAGATGTCTACGAGTACTTTCTTAGATTTTGTGCTACATACAGAAAAACGAAATTTTTAAAACTAGTATCAGATAATCTGAACAAAGCTTGCAAAGGAGCTGATGTGCTCTGGATAGGAGAAGACACAATCACTGCTTATTTTAAAATATATGATTAAAAATTACTTAGATTTAAAATGCACTTCTTTAGATACGCTATTAAAGCAGTAATGCTTTAGTAGTATAATTCCTAAAATCCAAGTTGATAATGGTTGCAGGCTTTGTAGTTTTGTTTTGGATTTTGATGATGTATCACTGCTCCCTGTCTAAAATACTCCTGGCTTCTTGCCCCAGCCATTTAATTGAACCAGAAAGGATACCGAATTGGGATTAAAGATGTTTTGGGGTTTCCTTATCAGCACTATAGGTATTATTTAATACTGACAGAAACTACTAAAGAAATCAGGGATATGTAAAAGGAAACTCTCCTATTTGATTTTTCTTTTCATCTTAAAATAAGGACATTTTGTACTCCTTACTGAGACTGTGGTGGACCTGCTTGCTGTCTACTATCTTAGACCTAAGTTGTCAGCTGGATGTTTTGCAGCAATTGCTGAGTCATCATGAATAACAAAGCGCTTCATGACATGGCATGTTTCATACTGTGTTATTTGATGAAGTAGCCTAGAGTTCATGGGCAAAAGCGAAGTGCTTGGTTGTGTAGTAGAATGTTGGAATATGAATGAGATGTCTGGCACTATTACTAGATATTTGCCAGCTTGTCAGGCCAACTGTCTAGTGTAGTCCCTTGGTACCTGTGACTTGCATATGTTCAGTTGACTTTTTTTTTTTTTATTTTTTAAATTTATTTGTGTGTGTGTGTGTGTGTGGCCAGCTCAGCCCACCAGGGGGCACGGCTGGCTGGCATGTGGGGCTGGGGGATTGAACCGTGGTCCCTGTGCTTTGCTAAGCTTGTTCTAAGTAGGTGCTTTAGACCACTGAGCCATCTCATCAGCCCCTGTTCAGTTGACTTGTAATTTCCTGTTTTGACTTCTGGTTTAGATCTGCTGGGAAACTTAACATTTTTCCCTTTAAATATCTGTACTTTTAAAAGTTATTTTCAAGTAGTGGAAAGAGAGCCTTTGTATTGCTCAACTAGTTGAAGGTAACTCTTAACTGTAGAAACAAAAATAAAGAGTAGCTTTCAACATGGAAGTTGATTATTTTCATTTGCCTATTCTCTCACCCCTTTACCTTTTAGCCCAGGTAAGTTAATAAAGGAATGGTGTTATTTTTCTATTCGGGAGCGAGCAAGTCACTGAAGAGAACATTCTTGTCACCTGTTCGGTCTCCTTTCCCAATTTCATTTTGTGTGCAGTTCTCTGGGGAGGTCAAGCTGATTGTTTTTCTTTTTCTCTCTCCTCCCCCTCCCCCCCAGGGATTGAACTCTGGCCCTTGCACTTACCAGGGAAGTGCTTATTGTACTGAGCCACCTCCCTGGCCCCCTGTTTTTCTTAATAGCCACTACACAGAACTTCACAGGGCAAGTCAGAACCTTGCCTTGTGAAGAAACTACTGCCACCTCCTGGTAAGAGGGTACTACTTATCTTTTTCCCTTTTGGGGTGTGTGGTTTGTCTTCTGGTTTGGAGCCAAGGGAATCCGTGTTTAATCCTCGATACAGTTTATATTTTACTTTCCACATTTAATTAATTTCAAAAAGAGGAAATTACTCCCTGCATCAATAGTTTACATCAGCTGTTGATGACTTGTTTTCTATAAGGGAATGGAAAGTAAATTTTCAGACTCTACTGCCAATTCTTTTTCTTTCTGTAACCTTTTAGCAGGTGTCAACACCAATCTTTGCCTATGACAGAACCGACCAAAGGCTAGATTTGTATACTAAATGTATTCTGCATTTTCCTGGTTTATGTGGTAGCATGGTTTTTGTCTTTTGGTACTTGGTCCCAAATAAGTTATGTCCTGTCTGATTGCTCCTGGTTAAAGACTGTTCTGAGTCTTGAAAAGGAGGGATATTTATTTATTTATTTATTTAAAAATTTTTTTTTTAAATTTATTTTATTTGTGTGTGTGTGTGTGTGTGTGTGTGGCCAGCTCAGCCCTCAGGGGGTGGGGCTGGCTGGCATGTGGTGCTGGGGGATTGAACCGCGGTCCATGTGCTTTGTTAAGCTTGTTCTAAATAGGTGCTTTAGACCACTGAGCCATCTCACCAGCCCAAGGAGGGATATTTAAAGGCCGACTATTTAATTCTTTTTTTTTTGGCAGTACCAGGGATTGAACTCAGGCCCGTGCGCTTGCCAGGCAAGTGCTTATTCTACTGAGCTATTTCCCAGCTCCCTTTAATTAATTCTTCAAGTTACTAAGTTGACTTTTGTTTTTGGTTTATGCAGGATGCTTAATATTATCAGTAGATATGGAAGTGGAAATAGTTAATTGGGAAAATACACTCTAATAGAATTAAGCTGAGCTATAGTTATTATCCTGCCTTGAATTGGACAATTTAAATTCTACCTAATTTCCTCATAAAATGGAAGTTGTTGTAAGGGTCAAATAAATAAAGCTTTTAGAACAGAATCTGGTATATATAGTTAGGACTGACTCATTTAAAATTGTTGTGATGAAAGAGAGCATTTAGTTTTAAACGTCCTTACATTATCTCTGAATTCTGCTACCTCTGACTTCTTTCCCCATTGGTTCCCAAATTCCTCTATAAATTTAAATATTATTTTCACAATGATGAGGCCAAACCTTAAACTACTGGAAAAAGTTATTGAAGTTTTAAGACTATTGACTATAAAGAACATATTTATTTATTTCTTTCTTGGGGCCGGGGATTGAATTCAGGACCTGGGCAAGCGCCTATTCTACTGAGCTATCTCCCTGGCCCCCATTTTTTACTTATGATAGGCCCTTATGTGATATTTTATGTTTACTTGCCAGTCCCCCCCCTTTGTATTTTGAGATAAGGCCTTACTGTGTTTCAGGCTGGTGGCCTTCAAATCATCATTTTTCCTTGCCCTTCCAGGGCTTAGATTAGAAGCATGGGTGACCACAGCACGTCCTTACTAGCCAATTTAGCAAGATAGATTACAGAAAAGCCCAGGGGATGTATCCATGATCTGGAAATGGAAAGTCCTCTGACAATACAGGTATATACAACTTGTATGTACAACTTTGAAGTAAAATAAAAACTTGGTCTACTGTCACTAGTCAAAATACTTTTTATTAGGTTCAGAGTATTATTGGAAAGACTGTAATGATTCCGCACTTGTAATATAATTTTTATTTGTGGCTGCTTAGCTTATGGTTATGGTTGGAATGCATTTTTTAAGGGATTATTTTGTGTATTAGCTTGGCAAAGGTGTATGCCTGTGATCCTAACTGGATGGGAGGCTGAGGCACGAGGATTACAAATTCCAGACCAGCCTGGGTAACTTTTGGAGACTTTTTTTTTTTTTTTTTTTTTTGTACTGAGGATTGAACTCAGGACCTTGCGCTTGCCAGGCAAGCACTTACTCTACTGAGCTATTTCCCCAGCCCCCTTTGTCTTAATTAAAAACTGAAGTAGTTAGGAAG